ATAATTATTTCTAATAAAAATTATTCAAATTTTAACTAATCTTTATAATTTTTTTATATTAAATAAAAAATAATCTAGATTAACTTTTTATATTATTTTAATAATTCTATTATATTTTAATTTAATAATAAATAAAGTATTATTTTACTAAAAAAAAGCTAAAATAAAATTATTTTTTTAAAAAAAAATATTTTAATATTATTATTTTTAATTTATAATAATAAAATTTTAAATTATATAAGCAGATTGCTCTAGATTTAATAAATATATATTCTAAATTTATAAAATTAAATTAATAATTATAAAAATATTAAGATTTAAAGTTTAATAATTATATTAATTTTAATTAAATCTTATATAGTAAAATTTAAAAAGATTATTATTAGTAAAATTTTTTTTATAAAATAAATATAATAAAAAATTTTCATTTAAATAAATATTAATATTAGTAACTTAATTAAATAAGACAGAATTGAAATTTTATTTTGAAAAAATAATCTATTAATATTTATTTAATATATTAATCTTTTTATATTGGATCATATTACTTTTTATAAATATAATTTAAGATAATTAATTTTATTAATTATATAAAATTTTTATATATTTTAAATATTAATTTATTTATATTTAATATTTATTTTATTATATATAAATATATTACTTTATTTTATACTTTTAATTTTAGATATAAATATTAATTAAATAATAAAATTATAAAATTATTCAATTCATATTTTATCTTATTTAAATAATAAACAAATAATTTTATATATTTTTATAATATTTAATTTTATATTTAAAAAGTATTTTTATTTATAAGTGAAAAATAAAGAATTTTAAATTAGATTTATCTTGAATTTCAAGAATAATTTTAATTTTACTTTCTTATATTATATATTTTATATTATTTTAAGTAAAATATTATTATTATTAATTCTTTAAATATTACTTATTATTTAATAAAAAGATTTATACAAGATTTTTATTAATTAAATAATATTAAATTATAAATATAATTCTTGAAAATAAATAAGATTTAAAATAGATTTACTAATAATACTTTATTATATATTTTATTATTTAATTTTATAATTTGAAATAATAAAGATAAAATTTAACTTCTCAAGAATAAATTTAATATTCTTAAAATAACTGAATTGAATTTAATAAAACTATTTTAATTAATCTTAATTTTTTAAATAAAAATATTCAAAATAATAATATATATATATTATTTAAATAAAGTTTTATTTAATTTTTTATTAATTTTTAATAAAATATTAATTTTAAGAGTTTTAAATATTTAAAATATAAAAATAGATCAAGTTTATTACTTCTTTTTAATTATTTAATATATCTATAAATACTTGGTTTTATACAGTAATATTATAAATATTATATTATCAAATTTCATTAATAATTATTTATCAATTAGTAAAAGTTTATAATAAAAAGAAAAATAAATTACATATTAATTTTAAAATAAATTATTATTAAAGTTCATTTAAATCTACTATATATTTCATATTATATTTGATTTTTTATATATAATAAGAATTATATAATTATATAATAGAGTTTAAAATTTACAATTTATATAAAAATATTCTGAATTAAATAATTTATAAGATATATGAATTAATAATTTGTATAAATAATGAAAAATATAATAATGAAAAGAGTATTGTGACAAGTAAAAATACATTGAAATTTAATAATAATCACATAAAAAATATTATTTGATTTATTATAACTAAGCAGAATGAATTTTGAACACAAAAATTGAGATATTAATTTAATCAATTAATTTTTTTATTGAAATGGCACAAAAATATTATTATTTTATTTGTTTAATTATAATAAATCAACTAAGAATATTTTGTATGATATCAATCATTATGTGATAAGATATTACATATATAAAGAAATTTTTATATTAAATAATTTTTATTTGTCATCTCTTAATTAAAATTTTAGTCATATAAAGAGATATAATCATAATATATAGCTTTTTATTATAAAGCAAGTTGGGGTCTGTATAAATTAAAAATCTTAAGAAAGCATCTTTTATAGATTTTTTTAACGTTAACTTTGTTATATACCAAATTTTTTGCTAAAAGACTATTAAAAAGTTTGATTTATAAATATATAAAGATAATCCAAACTTAAACAAATTGCTTAATTTCTATTGAATTATCACTTTATATTATTTATTTGAATTTTATTTTTAATAAAATATCTGACTCAAGAATAAATTTATAATGATTTTTTATATATCCCCCATATGGGACCGGTACGAAATCCTGACAAACACAAAGCCCAACAATTCATAATCCCGGCAAGCGAAATCCCAAATGATCGAAATCCCGAGTGAGCGATAGCACGAATGAACGAAGTTCTAACGACATCCCGAATGGTCAGAAAGTATAGCATCCCAAAGACATGGAATACCAATGTTTCGGAGATTTCTTGCATTCGGAATGTCTTTCATTCGGGATTTGGCATATGAATTGCCAGGATTGTGTTGTTGGAATTTTGAACTTCATTGCCCCTATATAGTCATATTCTCTTTTTAACCGTATCTTTTTCCTTTTGATATCAAAAAATAGAAAATTGCAATCAACAACCTCTTTAGAATCATACTTTTTGCTGTTTCCGAGAACGCAATCCTAACTATAAACAAGAACTTATAATTATCCTAATTTTTGAATTTGAAAATATGAATTAGATATCAAATAATGAAAAATACATTTATACTTTTTTTATAAAATTATTAGATTAGATAATATGCTATGTTTCATAAATCATAACCCTAGCACATATATATCTTTATGTAAAAATAGAATAGTGTATTGAAGGATCATGCTGCAATCATGCTGAAATGTGATCAAACAGCATGATTAAAAAGGTGTGATTGTACGTGTGAATGAGTAACAATGGCATCTATTCTTCCAAATTTATGTTTTGAAGAAATTTTCAATTATTTTGACGAAAACGAAAAAATTCCACAATTTTTTTCATGCTTTCTCGTTAACCGTCACTGGTGCCGAAACACGGTTTCCTTCTTGTGGGAAAATCCATTTTACAAGAGAAAATCACTTTCTCTCTTTCACACACTGTTAACTTGTCTTGATAAGGAAGACAAGCAAAAGTACTTGCCAGATTTGGTGGAATACACACCAGCATTTTATTATTATGAATTCATCAAATATGTGAACATTTTCTCGCTTTTGGAGTCGGCGAACGGATTGTCAATTAACGAATTGAATTTGGTAAAGATTCTGTTTATAAAATTAATCAGCTCTGATAAATTTCTTTATCGTCTTGACCTCGATTACACGCTAGCTGGGTACGAGTGGCTTGATTACGAGAACGGCTATCAATTGTTTTCTAAAGATTGGATTCCTTTTAATTTTCCGGGAGCCGATCAATCGCTATCTCAGGTTCGTTCTTTGACTCTAGACGAAAATAGTTTGGAGATGATGCTCCCGGAGGCTACACGTTACTGTCCCAATTTGCAAGAACTTTGCATTGTCGTGTATTCACAAATTGAGGAAGATTTGCAAGGACAACAGAAACCTTATCTCAGTATTCTTACTGAAATGTTGTCATACATTTGTCTTTGGGGTAATCTACAATATCTCCAAATTAAAGATGGAGTTCTAAGACGTAAATCCTGGCGGTTCACAGAGGCAGAAGAGTTCATAACTAAACTAGGAATCTGCCTACCAGCAAATCACTTTAAGCATATATATTGCAATCTCAATTTGGAATTTAGCCCAATGGCTTTACAACGCTTTCTCGAATTTACCAGAGCGAAATGCGAAAAGCTTTCACTGCCAAACTGTTGCATTTTCGAAACACATCTTAAAGTTATTACAAAATACGCTCAAGATATTGGGTTAAAGAAACTCGATATCACGAACGCTTCTATTTCTGATAGTCAAGTTCTCAAGGACGCGAAAAATATCATACTAGAGATTGAATATTCAAATGATTTTAGTTATGAACCCGAGGAAGATGATTTTAGTTATGAATCCGAGGAAGATGATTTTAGTTATGAACTCGAGGAAGATTTGAATTTTTATTATCACCGTTACGCTGGTTTTTCTTATGGTGGTGAATTTTATGGATCGTGATTGTTACGATAGCGATAGCGACAGATATTACGATAACTATTACGATCGTCGTTATGGTTATGGTCCGGAGTTCGAGTAGAAAAATTATTACCGTCGTTATAACTCAGCAATTAGTTCATGTATCTCTTGCATTTTTTCATTAATCTGTTTAATTATTATATTCAGACTGTAAATATTAAGCGGAAATAAAATTAGTACAGGTAAAAAATATCAAATTATTTTCTTTTGAAAAATGGGTTATTAGAACAAACCAAAAAAAATGTGTATATATGCTAACAAAACATGCCTATTTTGAGTATCTTTGATTATTGAATCGAAATCTTTTTCGCTCGTCTGCGCTTGTTTTTTATAAATTTGTGTGTTTACTGTCTATAATATATATATATATCGATATACCTATTTTTGTTAGATATGATAAACGCATTTAATACATTTATAATGACAGATAAAAAATGTACCAATTTCAATTTCTCCCTTTCCAACTCTTGCAGCTGTCTAATAAATGTAGCCAGTTCTTTAGTCTCATCAAGTACCATTTGATCAATCCCTTCTTCTTGCTCATTGGCGTTGATATTCAATAATTCTTGTTCTACAGCTCGTATGTCTTGGGAAACTTCGTTGAATCCATCGGTAGTAATACGACAGACTAAAGCGAATTCTTCATCTGTGCAAGTGAGATTTGAGCCTGTTGTAGACGAAGTTGTGTTGATTGTTGTCGCTGTCGTGTTGAGATTTTGTGCAAATGCTCTATTATTTTGAATTATTGATGTGATATTTTAATAATTTCGAATAAAAAATTTTTCAAAGAAATCAACAAGATTAGATTATTAATACGCGACTCTTCAAACTCTTTATATAATGCTACTCGTGTTGCTTGATAAGTTGTAAAATCATGCATACGAGCCAAAACCCTTTCTCGTATTGTCTGTGAAGTGGTTGTTGACGAAGTCGTAGTAGAGACCATTTTGCTCGCTACATATACATGCACCACTGTAAAGATAAAAATGTCAGGATTAAAATTGTTTTGTATAACGATAACGATAACAACAATCGGTTATTTTCAGGCTAAATTCATGTGATTTGGAATATCGATATCGATTTGAATACAGATCCTTACCTTAAAAGGCCAAATGCATGTATTTTATAAAATTAATATAACGATAATAAATTACAACAACAATTTAGTGTTAGGAGAAAATAATCGCTAATTTAAATATCTGAAATTATTTACGTGTAAACAGAAAATTTTTTTTATTGCAATTACGTATTTTTACTTTGCGAGAAATCCTAAATGAGCAACGCAATTTATGACAAATAATATTGCTTATTTCGGACTTTACACGGGTATATTTAACTTTTTGTATACAAAATAGTATTGGTATATTTTACTTTAAAAAACTATAATTTTGATTTCATTAAGACAAAATATTATTACGAAATTGAGAGAATAAATTTTTGAGGATAAAAATAAAATTACTTGGTTGACAAATATGATTCAAATTTCCAAAATGATAATGTCTGTTAAATTTAATGCGATAAGTTTGAAGAAAAATAATAAAATCATCAAGAACCGGTTAGAGTTTCAGTGTTATTTTGGAATAACAACTCTTTGCGCGGATTATTATCCTGTTTGTGGGTTGTTTCAAAATGCTCTACGCACGTTGCAACTAGGAATTCTAACTGCGGCAAGCTTTCTGGAGGAGTCCGTTTCGACAGAGAGATCATATCTCTCGAATCTTATTGTTCTGAATTGCTAGAATGTTCATAAATGCATACATATTACCGATAATCACACCAAACGAAATTCCTAACCACAATTTCCCGAAAACTCAACATCCCGAAAATTATTTCTACCTCCCGAACCAATAGAAGATATTGGGCTTTTAAGATTTCGAACATCAGGATGTTGTTTGTCGAGATATGGTGTGTCAGGATTATGGTTGTCGGGATGTTGAACCGGCACTCGTAAAATATAATTCAGTGAAATTTCTTTACCGAAATTTGTTTTAGAGGAATTTTTGTATTAATTGTGATTAAACATTCTGCAATATCGAAACATTCACTATTCGGAATGTTAGCTTTTAAAAATGCGCCTGATCATGAATGTGGGATGTTTATTTAAAACTGGTAAAATTTTGGATTGAAAATTGCTTGAATGTAATTACTAGCTACAAAACCATCTGCTACTTTACTCAGCCAATACATGGACTTATGTTTATCCTTTGAAGTGCCAAAGCCTCGATTATATGCATTAGCAAGCTCTAATGTAGCACGAAGATGTCCACGTTCCGCTGCCTTTTGCAAAAGACAATAATAGTTTAATGCATTTTTTTTAATACCACGTCCACAGTGATAATGGCAGGCTAAATAATAGCAAGCAGATGGGACCCGTTGTTTTGCCGCTTGTTGTTTCCAATAAACTGCAGATTTTTTGTCTTCAAATACACCGATTCCTTCGCCATAGCAATACCCGAGAAGATATTGTCCATGGGGATTATTCGATTGGGCTGCTTTCATAAATTCTTCAAAAGATTTTAGTCGTTTGTTCTTTTTTAAATAGAATACACCAAGGATTACTTGATTTTGCGAATGTTGCTGATTGTGATTTATTAGGTATTTTACCATTTCGGGTTCATTGGAGTTGGTTGCTGCGAGGAATCTTTTTATGGTGAATAACGTATTTTTGTTATTAATCAACTGTATTTCGATATCAGACAGAAATTCTTTTACTGCCTTTTCATAATTCGGGAATTTATTTTTTTCATTATTTTCATTATTATTATTATTCATCATTGGTTATCAATAATAATAACGACGGTAAATACGTAATGATAACGATAACGATTATTAATCTCTCAAAGTTCCGATTGGACGTAGATAAATTTCATTGCTGATTGGCTGACCGCACCTAGACCAACCAATAAGAAAGCAAAAATTTTTAATCCATTTGATCAGCACCACATGATTTGAAAATAGCCAATCAAAATATAGAGAAAGTGACAAGTTCTTTTACAGCTCTCGACGTATATAATGAGAATCGTTATTTGGCGATAAATCATGAGGGCTTTATTTATTTAGCTTACGGCTTTACAGGTAAGCAAATATGATG